ATCGCCATTTGGGGGGGAAAAAAACAGCAGATGGGAGATACCTCGCTCTCTCTGAGTCTCTCCACGGATGTTGCACATCCTGAAAGTGGGAGGCCTTGTTCTCATGTGGGTGGGGGATGGAAGCATAGACCAGAACGCTCCTCCTTGAGCACTCAGAACTCAGTCACCTCTCCAAGGCTGCACCTGCTAAGGATGCTGCCCAGGGGATCACCTTGCAACAGGAGCCGCAGCACCTCTACCCCCAGCATGCCCTCGGGGAACAATGAAAACTGCCTAGGTAGGGGGGGAAGGAAGCCTTTCTACGGGAAAGTGAAAGCACCCCCTGAGTTCACAACACAGCTGTCAAAAGCTGGGAAATCCATGAAAGCAAGATTGAGGCGAAGGAATCATATTAAATGGGACAGAACTGAAGGGTATGTGGTCTGGCATTGGGGCACCGTGAGTTAAGCCACCGCTTGGGATTCTGGAATCGCCTATGCTTGCTGGTTTGAGTCCTGGCCTTGGGCCCCTGCACCCACGTGGGGGACCCAGATGGAATTCTGGGCTCCTAATTTTGGCTTTGCCCAGTTCCAACTGTTGTACCCATCTGGGGAATAAAGCAGTAGATGGAAGATCTTTGTCTCTCTTTGCAACTCTCTCACAAACATATAAACAGATGGTTAAAAGAAAAAGAGAGCTGAATGCTTCTCATTGTCTGCTGGGGGCTCCTCTTTCAGACTGAAGGGATAAATCTTTAAAGTATGGAGATACTAAGATGTCAGTTACCAGGCTAGTCCCAGGGCTACAAAACATCAACCAAGATAATTAGGCACAATGTCCTCTCCCTTCCTCCCTCCCTTCCTGCCTTGATCTCTTTTTTCGGACGGCAGTGGAGGGTGGCAGGGCAGGACACAACCACGCTGTCTGACTTTCTCTGTGCTCGCACAGCCACAGCTGGTGGCCATGACAGGCCACATGGAGGAGAGGATTCCTAGGACCGCTTCTGTTTTATTACTTACCCCCATCAACTTCCTTCCTTCCTAAATAAAGCATTTATTTATTTATTTGAGACTCAGAGAAATAAAACAGACACCAATCTGCTGCTTTACTCCCCCAGGAACCCCTAGAACACACAATGTCAAGCCAGGCTGAAGCTGGGAACTCAACACAGGTCTCCCACAGGACTGGAGCCTTCCTTCACTGCTTCCCACCGGCAACAGGAGGAAGCTACAGCAGAAAGCTGGTGTAGCCAGGACTCTAGCCAGGGATGCTCCCAGGCAGCAGCTTGCCTGTCAGTTCACAGGAGCCATCTGCCCCAAGCTGCATCATTTTACGGAGTTGAGGCTTCAGCGCAGGGCCCCTTGTAGGGCAGGGGTAAAGAAGAGGACGGGTTCAGATTTGACTTTAAAGAGTTGTGGGCTTAAGTAAGCGCAAGAAGCATGGAAGGAAACAGCCCAGAAGAGGTCATGGAAAGTTTCCCACTGGCATACATTTGGCATGGGTCAGGGGCGGACCAGGCTGAATCAGTTCACATCATCCACTGGCAAATCCGAATGCCAGAGCAGAGTGTGGGTCGAGCCAGGTTCGGTCGCAACAAAAGCAGTACACAACACGGAATGCCAAGGTGAGGTTGCCTGTGCCAGATGTGACTGCAGCACCCAACCAGCACACGTGAGAATCAGGAAGGGGGGGCAGAGCCGGCAGGGGAATAAGGGGTGGTTCCTTTGCTGGACAGATACCCCACTGGAGGGCATGTGCCAGGATGGGGACAGACCAGACTAGGCAGGGCTACAACACCTGTTCGCCTCATGTGGACCAGATCAGGGAAAGCCAGGATGGGCTGATTATTCCTACTGGTGCAAACAAAATTAGAGTGGGTGAGGGTTGTTGGGGCTTAGCCACAGCAGAAGCTGGCACTGGGGGCTGATACTGTCAAGTCTAACCACAGAACCACATGGAGAGTGCATAATCTGGGAGTGAGAGAGACCTGGGAGGGAAATAGTGGGCTCCTCCCTCTTGGGTTACCACTCCCATGGGAGGGGAAAAAAACTAGGACAGGGGCTGGGGTGGCTAGACAGAGAGGCACCCAGCAACATCTGTGAGGGCTGGATAGTTGAGCTGGTTAGATGGAACTAGGCTTCAATACCCATTGACATGTATGAGAGCTGAATGGGACATGGGACAGACTGGACTAGTCTGCTACACATACTAGCAAACCAGGGTAGGGGGCAGACCTGGTGGGGGTTATTGTGGGTCGCTCCAACTAGGCTGCAGCTCTCACTGGTTTATGTGAGGGCCAATTGTGTGCTGGGCAGAACCAGGCTGGACTGCAACACCCATTGGTTCCAGTGGAAGTCGGGGCTGAAAACAGAACCAACCCAGCAATTGCAACCACCAGCTGATCAGGGTGATGGACTGTGCCGGGCCCTGTACTTGCTAGTACATACAAGAATCTGGTCTGGGAACACCTCAGAGTTTCTTTTGGGGATCTCCCCAATCGAAATGGCGGACTCAGAACCCTAACCAAGAAAAGACAGAAGATAGAACAGGTCAATCCACCACCTCAGCTATATGTTGGCAGCGAAACACTGGGCAAATGGAGACTCTATGATGGACTATGTCAATCAGTGGATTCTTCAACGACCTCATCGTGCCTGGAGTGGCGAGATTGGCAGTGATTCATAACTGGTGAACTATCAAAACCACTTGAGCAAGGATCTCAGAGCATGCCCCACATCTGGGACCTGGGGTGGGTGGGAGACTGGGTGGGGCTTCTCCCTCAATATTCCCTTTACCTCAGATATATGAATAAAATTAAAAAAAAAAAGAGTGTGGGCTTGAACCACGGGGCACCTGGAGGCCTGCTCTGTCTTTGGCTGTCTTCAGGAAAGCCTTCCAGCTTGCACTACTTGAGAGAGCCCCTCCCCCTTGGTCATTGCTGCCTCTCCTCTACAGCCAGGGAGGAACTATCAACTTTTTCTTTAAAGATGTATTTATTTTTATTGGGAAGGCAAATATACAGAGAAAAGGACACGGAGAGAAAGATCTTCCATCCACTGGTTCACTCCCCAAGCAGCTGAAAAGGCTGGAGCTGGGCTGATCTGAAGCCAGGAGCCAGGAGATTTTCCGGGTCTCCCATGCAGGTGCAGGGTCCCAAGGCTTTAGACTGTCCTTGCTGCTTTCCCAGGCCACAAGCAGGGAGCTGGATGGGGAGCAGAGCCGTCGGGATTAGAACCTGTGCCATTATGGGATCCTGGCTCACGCAAGGCAAGGACTTCAGGTGCTACATATCATTGCGCTGGGCCCCTTTTCTTTCTTGAGCCCCCAAACCTGCTCTCTTAACTGTACTTTCTGACACGACCAAGGCCCTTGCGTGTCAGCCTGAAGTTAACAGAAAAGGATTTATTAGTAGGTGAAGCTTGCTGGGGCCAGGTTGTGGTGCTACCTTTCCCATTGGAGCATGGGTTCAAGGCCCGACAGCTCCCCTTCCAATCCAGCTCCCTGCTGATGCACCTGGAAAAGCAGCCGAGGACGATCCAAGTGCTTGCACCCCTGCACCCACGTGGGAGACCTGGAGGAGATTCCCGGCCTTTGGCCCCAACTGCTGTAGTCATTCAGGGAGTGAACTAGTAGACGGAAGCTCTCTCCCTTTCCCCTGCCTTACAGAAAAAAAAAAAAAATTTTTTTCAAAATAAATACGTATTAAAAATATATATACAGTATTTTTGTACCAAAGCCTCCGGCCTGGTTTTTTATCCTGTGGGGGGAAAATACGGGCTCAAGAATGGATACAACAACTCCCATTCCTCGTGGTCTCAAGCCCACACACGCATCCAGTAAATAGAACACAGCCATTTAGGTGCACAGATCTGTGTGTTCTACCTGAGTGTGCACGCACGGAATCATCACGCTATGAAGACGAAGATGCAGGCCCAGCATCCCGACCTCCCCTCGGCCACGCACAGCTCGGAGATCCTGCACTGTCCAGCCCGGCACGCCAAACCGAGGACAGCGCCGCGTCAGGATTGCCTAACACGCGGGAGGGATCATCCTGCCAGCCAGTCTCAGCATCTGGACGCCAAACGGTTGCCATGGCTCCGCCGCCAGAACTTCCGGCCCTTGCTGTCTGCATGGGACGCTGGGAAATGTAGTCTTTTCTTAGGAGGCAGCGGGACCAAGGGATTTTCTAGCAAGGAAAGATGAAGGGCAAGTACACAAGAAGGAATCTTTCCACGACTTACATAAATACTCCACTTCCTTTTTGCTTCTGTGGGCCTCACGCCCCTTTCGCACACACCCTAGAGACAAAGTCTGATTGGCCCAGCCGCGATAAGTGCTCACCCATTGGTGGAGACTTCATGATGGAGGATCCTGACGACTTCCGGTCTCATGGCCGTGTGCACACTTGACAGAGGAGCCATGGCTCTCTCCTGCCAGGGCCTGGCCCGGGGCGTGTGGAAGGAGCGGACCGTGGAAGGAGGCGGCCTTCCTTCCTCATTGCTAGAGAGCGAGGAGAGAAGCGAGAAACTGGACGCCGTCTGGGCCTCCAGCAGTACATGGAGGCTTCGGTGCAGGCTTAGACTGAAGTGGGGCTTAGGCCTTGGCATAGGTTTAGGTTTTGGGTTACGGTCAGGGCTTGGGTTCCAAGAGCCAGAAACATGGTGAAAGGGGAGATGTCATGAATGGTGGAGTTCACGCAGCAGTGCGCACGGCTCCATCCCCCTCCACCTCCTCTCACCACACCCACCGAAGTGCTGCACGGGAAGTGGAGCTGCCGGGATTAGAACCGGCGACCGTGGCGCTTGCAAGGGGAGGCGATAGCCACTGAGCCATCGCCCTGGACCCTGTGCCCTGGTGTTCCAGCAGCGTGGGTACCCGCAGCACATTCTCCATCTCCTGGAAGCCGGCGGGTCGTCAGGGACACCTCGGCGCCCTGCGCCTCTCCCCCAGGCCGCCAGGGGGAGCACGCTGCACGGCGGCGCACGCTGCACGGCGGCCTGGCCGACGTCACTTCCGAGGCGGAAGTCGCCGAGCGGACGGAGGATGGTCTCCCCGGCCGGCAGGTAGGAGGCCGAGGCGGCGGGGCTGGCGTCCGGCCCGGACACCCTGCGGACTCGGCCGAGGGAGCGGGAGGCCGCGGGGAAGGCTGAGCGAGCGCCGTGGGCCCCGAGCGGGCTGGCGGGCGGGCGCTGCTCGGGGTCCCGGCCGGGCTCCGGGGTCGCGGGCGTCCGGCGTGCGCGGTGTCCGGGTCGTGTCCACGCGGGGTCCGGGTCGTGTCCACGCGGGGCCCGGGTCATGTCCACGCGGGGCCTGCGCACTCAGGTCGTGTCCACGCGGGTCCGGGTCATGTCCACGCGGGGTCCGGGTCGTGTCCACGCCGGGCCTGCGCACTCAGGTCCTGTCCATGTCTGTCCAACGAGCCCAGGTCCATGCCTGTCCCACACACCTGGGTCGTGTCCACGCCGGGCCTGCGCACTCAGGTCCTGTCCTCGCGGGGTCTGGGTCGTGTCCACGCCGGGCCTGTGCACTCAGCTCCTGTTCACGCGGGGTCCGGGTCCTGTCCACGCGGGGTCCGGGTCGTGTCCACGCCGGGCCTGCGCACTCAGGTCCTGTCCGTCCACACGGGGCCCGCACTCCCCTGTCATGTCCATGCCTGGCCCGCCAGCTGGGTCATGTCCATTCCTTTCTCGCGCGCTTGGGTTGTGTCCACGTCTGTCCCACAGGCCTGGGTCGTGTCCACGCAGAGCCTGCAGCCCCTGTCATGTCCAGGCAGGGTCTTGAGGTGTGTGCCAGGGTATGGACATGGCCGCAGCCCCTCAGCCAGGGGATGGTCAGGAGCAAGTGGCCACTCCCCCAGGCACTCAGCACGGGTCAGGCACAGGAGGCATCTTGGGTCAGCAGCTGCCTGCCACCCCAGTGTACCCTGCACCAGCAAGGGAGACCTGGAGGAAGCTCCTGGCTCCTGGCTTGGGAGAGAACCAGTGGATAGAGGGGCGATCCCTAATTTGTTCATGATCCTTAGGAATGTCTCTGAGATTCTACATCATTTTTTCAGACTTGTTTATTTTTATTGAAAAGTCAGATTTACAGAGTGAAGGAGACAGAGAGGAAGATCTTCCATCTGCTGGTTCACTGCCCAAGTGGCCGCAACAGCCAGAACTGAGCCGATTCAAATCCAGGAGCCAGGAGCCTCTTCCAGGTCTCCCACGCGGGTGCAGGGTCCCAAGGCTTTGGGCCATCCTCCACTGCTTTCCCAGGACATAGGCAGGGAGCTGGATGGGAACTGGAACAGCCGGGACACAAACTGGCGTGAGGGGTGCTGACTCTGAAGACCACCAGGGAAAGAATGCTTGCTCATCGGGCCGCACCTGGAGTGTCCTCTCCTGGAGGGAGGCCCGTGTCCTCCGCTGCCTGCCCTGGCCTGGCAAGCCTGGCAGACGGAGGTCCTGTGGCCTTTGCTGTGGCTGGGCGTGACAGCGTTGCCAAAGGGGTTCATGACTGGGGCCTTCACCCACACACAGGAGATAAAGCCCTTGGCCCCACATTAGCTGCAAGAGTAGCAAGAAAACCACTAAACCATTAAAAGCAGGTGATGGCTGGCATTATGGCATAGTGCGTTAAGCCACCACTTACAGTGCTGGCTGACATCCCATTGCAGAGGACTGGTGGGAATTCCTGCTACCCTGCTTCCCATCCAGCTCCCTGCTTATGGCCTGGGAAGGTAGCGTGTGATGGCCCCTGCAGCCACATGGGAGACCCAGAGGAAGCTCCTGACTCCTGGCTTTGGCCTGTCATAGGCTCAGACCAATTAGGGAGTTAGGCAGTGCATGGAAGCTGCCTCTTTCTCTGTCATTTCTGTCTTTCAAATAAATCAATCTTAAAATGTATGTTATGGTTGTGCTACCTGCTGTGCAGGACAGTAGAGGGCGCTGTGGGCCTATACAATGGGATCACTCGCAGAGGAAGCTAGTGGGGAAGGCTGGGGAAGGCTGTGGGGTCAGAGACCTTCGCAGGTCTGGGGCTCAAACTAAGAGCTCCTTGCTTCTCAGAGTGGCGTATTTCCCCTACAAACCAGCCGTTTTCCAGCTCTCTCCTTGGAGCCTGACCTCCATCTTGCGACGGGTTAAGGAGAGAGGAGCATGTGAATGTGTGACAGAATCCGTGTTTGGCATGCGTTGTGGCATGCTGTGTGGTCTCGCCTCTGGTTGGCAGGTGGATTCCAGAGCCCGTGACCCCAGCCCCGTGCTGGTGCTCGGGTTACAGGGCACTTTCTCCTGCCACCAGCCGCCCCATGAGGATTCGAGGTGCTGAGGCCACGATGGTCCTCAGGGCACAGCTGGATCTGGCTTGGCATTTGGTTGGGTGTCCCCTGGCAGTCACCTGGTCTTCCCCTGGACCGGTGGTGCAGAACAAGCCTGCTACCCCTTTCCCCTTTGCCTTCAACAGCCAGGGTTGGGCCGGACCAAAGCCAGGGACCTGGGTCTCCCGCTGGCTCTCCCATGTGGCTGGGCAGGGAGTCTTGAGCATTCATCTGCTGCCTTGTCGGGTGCAGTGGGAGACTGGGTTGGAAGGCGAGTGGCCTTCTGTGAGGACTAGGGCCATCGCCTGCTGCGCCTGTCATATGCGTTTTTGACTCGAGGTCTTTGCAGTTTCTGATGAGTCTGTCGGGATGTGGCCGCAGTCATAAGGAGCATCCCGTGCTGGAGACCCGGCGATGGCTGAGTAGGAGTGGGTTCCGGCGTCAGGTGGCTCCTGCTGCTGGTTGGGGTTGGAGGACAGAGGGAGGGAGGGTGGTGAGGTTGGAGGCGGGCCAAGCACTGACCGCCCGCACCTCCCAGGCCGTGCCAAGGGCCAGGGGTCATCGGGAACCCTGAGGACTGTGGGCAGACCGAGTGGTACGGCCAGGGCTGTGCAGGTCAGGAGCAGTGTGGCCCTTGGGTGCTGGAGAAGGGGGCTGGCTCGGGCTGAGCAGGGAGGCAGCCCTGCAGGGAGCCCAGGATCCTGTTTGGAGTGTGACTTCTCTGAGGTGAGCCACGCAGAGGTGCCCCAGAAGCAGCCGTGGGCAGAGGTCCCGCAAAAGCGGCTGTGGGCAGAGGTGCCCCAGAGGTGGCCGTGGGCAGAGATACCCCAGAGGCAGCCGTGGGCAGGGCTTGGAGCCCAGGTAACCCAGGTGACAGCAAGGGACCTCATTCCTGCTCTCTCCCGGGGTCCACGTTTTTCCCCATGCAAGTAGGGAAACAAGTAGCAGCATGGACTGTTCCCTCACATCCGTGTCGGGGAAGCACAGTGAAGGCTGCTTCCTGCCAGCCTAGAAAACACTGCTGCCAAATGTGGAGAAGAAAGAGAGTGGCTGAGCTGCAGGATGGCTAGCAGGTGCAGCCCATCACTTCCACAGTCTCTAGATGGCGCTGCTGTCTTGAGGTAGCGGGCTTCCTTGTGGGTCAGTGCCAAGGCAAAGTAGGCTAAGCCTCTGATTGCAGCATTGGTTTCCAACATGGATACTAGCTCAAGTCCCAGCTGCTCCCCTTCCCATCCAGCTCCCTGCCTGTGGCCTGGGAAAGCAGCAGAGGACGGTTCAAAGCCTTGGGACCCTGCACCCCCATGGGAGACCTGGAGGAAGCTCCTAGGTTTGGCTTGAAGCAAGCTCAGATCCAGCTGCTGCAGCCATCTGGGGAGTGAACCATCAGGTGGAAGATATCTCTCTCCCTCTCTCTCTGTAACTCTGCCTTTCAAATGAAAGTAAATCTTTTTTTTTCTTTTTTTAAGAAAAGGTTTCATTTTTGGTAACAGGAAAAATTAAACTTTTAAATTTTTGTACACTTCTGGTGCTGTTGGAGCAACATCCAAAGTTGGACAGTATGAGAATTATTTTAGAAATAGTTTTTTATTATTATTATTATGTTTTAAAAAAATTACATGTGTGCTTATTTGAAAGCGCTTCCATCGTCTGGTTTACTTTCCAGATGCCTCCGACAGCTGGGGCTGGGTCAGGTCAAAGCCATCCAGGCCCCCCTGGGTGCAGGGACCATGCACTTGAGTCAGCCTCTGCCTCCCTGTGGCATTAGCAAGAAGCTTGGTTAGGAGCGCGGGGTGGCTGGGGCTCGAACCAGGCACTCTGTTGTGGAGTGTGGATGTCCCAAGCTGCAGTTTAACCCGCTGTGCCGCAGTCCCTGTCCCTAGTGAGAGACTGGCTGGTTATGGTGAGGATTGAGGATGCCCCGAGCGGTCGGGTCTAGCCCATCGTTTGTTGTCTGTCGTTTTTGTTTGTTTTGTTTTGTTTTTTCCTTAAAGATTATTTATCGAAAGGCAGAGTGCAAAGAGAGAGTTCGCTCCCCAGATGGTCGCCAACAGCCGAGGCTGGGCCGGCCTGGAGCTGGGAGCCCAGACATCCATTCAGGTCTCCCATGGGGTGCTGCTTTTCCGGGTGCAGTTGCAGGAGGCCGGATCCAGAGGGCCAGCGCCAGGACTCAAACTGGCATTGTGAAATGAGGCGCTGGCGTCTCCAGCAGCAGCGTAAAGTGCTGTGCCACATTGCCTGCTCCAGTAATTTCTTTAAAAAAAATTTCCAGGGCCCGGCGCGGTGGCGCAAGTGGTTAAGTCCTCGCCTTGCAACCCCGGGATCCCATATGGGCGCCGGTTCTAATCCCGGCAGCCCCGCTTCCCTTCCAGCTCCCTGCTTGTGGCCTGGGAAAGCAGTGGAGGACGGCCCAAAGCTTTGGGAACCTGCACCCGTGCGGGAGACCCGGAAGAGGCTCCTGGCTTCGGATCGGCATAGTATCGGCCCGTTGCGCTCACTTGGGGAGTGAATCATCGGACGGAAGATCTTCCTCTCTCTCTCTCCTCTCTCTGTACATCCGCCTTTCCAATGAAAAAATAATAAAAAAAAAAAAAAAAATTTCCAAGAGAAATGTTAGCAGTAGCTTAAGTATTTTGGGTTCCCATGCAAACTTCTGCTCCCTGGTGGTTAACCCTGCGGGGCCCACCGCCTGGCAGTAAGTCATTCATGCCATCTCTCACTGCCCGCCCCCTCAGTCCTCCCCCTGGGTCCTGGTTTCTGTAGATG